GTAGGCCTGATGGTCACCGTTTCTAGAGCACATTAGGTAAGGGCCCACCCAGCTAAATAAAGTAGATGACAACAGTTAATCCAATCCTGGCCTCCATATGTATAAAGCACTCCCAAGTGCACATGGTCTTTACTAGGACAGGAGAAAGGAAAAAGATACTCAAGAATGTTTAAAAGATTCAAGGAAGATAAAAATAGAAGAAAAAGGCTCTGTCTTTCAGATGCTACCATATCACATTATTTCCAAGTACAGTGTTGAAAACCAAGGAGACCTCATGCAGTAGATCACCATTAGGATGATTCCAGCTTTGGTAAAAATGAGATCCTGTCATGTAAATATAGATAACTGTAGTTTAAATATAATATCACCCGACTGTAAACTTGCCTAACCGATGCTCCATGCCCTTTTCTAGATGAGACTTAGGATTCAAAAATCAATGAGATTGCCTCTCACTGGGGAGGAGGAAAATATGAAAAAAGACAAAACTCTCATTTGTGGTTGATCACAGTACTGGGACAGGGTTCAGAGAAGCAGGGAGGATGTAGGAGAGGACAGTGACCTGGGAGAGGGGTAGGGAACAGACCAGTATTCCTTGTTTGGGTATACAAGCAGCCAGCAGTTTGGTCAGGTCTCCTTGAGGAGAACATACACTTGAGCATACAGAAAATGGGGCCAGCACAGACTCTTAAGACTATCAAAGCGCCAGAGCAGGCTGTCAGTCCCAGCAGGAGTAGGGAGCTCAAGGGGAGGGACGCTGCTGCGGGGGACTCACCTACAGCATCCTGAGGGGCCCCACAGCTCTGCCGCGCACAGCTGGGAGAGGCGAGCTCGCAGTGAGTGTGTGCAAGCTACAGAAGGTGGCACACAATGAATTCAGCAGCTGTTACAGGAGCTGCAGCTGGTTGTATGTAGCACATGTGTTATTCCCTATGTGTCTGTTTGCCACTCGAGACAGACTGAAATGTGGATTTTTATCACTTACAGATGCTTCACAAGCAGAGGAAAAGTAAAAGCCAAAGCCAAAGAACACTTATCACAGCTACTGGCTTCTGCCCTGGTCAGTCACAATCTCTGCAGTGACACAGTCTGGCTGGCACGTGCAGAAAGCAGCCTGTCGTCTTTGTGGTTTATTTTTTTTTTTTTTTTTTTGTTATAGCATCTGCAAAGGCTGTACTCTATCAAGCTCTCCCATCTGCAGTAGAGGCTGAACAGCACTTTATACACACTACAGAGCGGATCTGTCAAGAAACGATGTCTGGTTTTGTAACAGCCTGTTTTTCTGCTCCTGCTGCCTAAAAGGAGGAATAGTGAAGCAGGGAAAAGAACAAGGGTGTAGTGGATGCGTGGCTGCAACGAGACAAGTGAGATTGACTTGGCACAGTATGGCCTGAACCAGTCAGCACAAAACAGAGAGATGTGGTCACCTGCGTGCTTTCGAGCTTCTCCATTTAACACATTTCAGATAATTTCAGTGCCAGAATAGTAGTACTGCCTATGGCCAGCAGGTGCCAAAACCTAGTATCATGAATCAGTCTAGGCCTGAAAGTCCTCTGTGAAGCTTTAAATTGGTTTATATCGCATTCGGTTCTCCAGCCTAGTCCCAAAGGCAGAGGGGAAAATGAATGAGCAGAGACTGGATGGGAGGTTTTTCCTGAGTCAGACCTCTTGCTTTGGTACTGTCAGTTCTCATGAAAAGCCCTATACTTTAGTAGCATCAAATCCAAAGTTTTTTTCCTGTAATTCAGGAATAAGACAGTGCAGCATAATTCAGCATAAGGCAGTGCAGTCCCAGCATATGAGTGGGCAGTGATGTAGTACTAACACACAGCCTAGCTCAGGAGTGCATAGTTCCCTGGCCACAGGAAGAACAAGAGGGGATTAAAAAAAAAATAGATTTGCAGCCAGGTTAGGGGAAAATTACACTGGCAGCAAAAGTAGCAACCACTCAGCAGACTTGGGGATTTCCTACTAACTAGTTGCCTTGGCTTAAGCAAAAGCCTCTCTCGTTTAACTACGCAGTATTGAAGTTATTAGAGAATTCCTGTATGGTTTCATAGCGGTGTTAGGACCAGGAGGCAGTAGAGAGGAAAGGGAGGCAGGAAGGAAGTGGGCATCCTGGACAACACTGTGGAAGCTCTACATGGTTTGTTTACAAACCCCATACGCTTTTTGTTTGGTTTTTGGATGCGTTTTATTCTTTCCCAGCTCCCTTTTCATCTCATGTGTAGTGCCAGCCAAACTGATGAGTGTTTATGCTTTTGAATTCCTGAAGCACAGCCAGTACCTTGAACTCTAGAGAATGAGGCTGAAATAATGTAAAAGGTCAGGCAAGTTCAAAGACAGAGAGGTGCTGTTTTCCTAGCTGGGGACACCAAACTGTTCCCAGACCACACTGAGCTTTTCTGGGGACACAAGAACAAAGACTGCTCTCTTCTGTCCTCCTGCTTTTGCTGCTTTTTGCCTCCCTCTTCTCACTATTTTCATGGGACAC